GCCCAACCTTCCTTCCAAGGTTTCCTTTAAACTTACTGCCCTGCTCATTTACTCCCATCTCCCTGCCACACATATCTCCCTTAGTGTTTCCTATTCCTTAACTGTAATTATTTCCCAAAGATCTACCCTCCCTGCAGGGACTTCTGTCTGCAGTATCAAATTCAACTTGTTTAAACTTTTCTCTAAATCCAGGTGACATTCAGTAATATGCTATCAATTACTCCAATTAATCACCCCTCCCTTCCTTTGCCCTGCTCCCCACCTCTAACATTTCATTAAACTCATCACCAAATCTTAACGTAAAAGAGTTTCTGGAATAACAGATGTTTTGTAAATAGTGTATAGTACACCTGCTAAATAAGGACAAAGACCAACCTCTCAGGTTTGGGTAAGGATTAACAGTAACAAACCAAAATGAAAACATCTAATATAGTAAGGAATACATACAAAATAAAAAATAAAATTAAAAAAAAAAACTACTACCATTGTGTCAATTTCGATTCATAGCAACCTATAGGACAGAGTTGTTGTTGTTGTTGTTGTTGTTATGTGCCATCGAGTCGGACCCGACTCATAGCGACCCCTCCTTGGGTTTCTGAGGCAGTATCACTACGAAAGTAGATTGCCCCATCTTCCTTCTTAGGAGTGGCTGGTGGGTTTGAACCGCCAGCCTTCTGGCTAGCAGTCAAGTGCCTTAGGCACTACACTACCAGAGAGGCTGTGAATCTTTATGGAAGCAGACTGCCACATCTTTCTCCCACAGAGTGGCAGGCTCCAAATGCATACAAGTGTCTATAAATTAACTTTCAATCATTCTAGACAAAAGTGCTCTTGCTGTACTACAGAATGGTTAAATGATAGAGTAGAAAGATTTAAAATCAGAGAAATTAAGTTTTGAGTTCCAGTTCTATGATGAACAAGTTGTGTGTTCTTAGTCAAATCACTTAACTTTGCTTAACTGGTACCCTCATGTGCCACATAAAATTAACCTTACCATTTCACAGGGACATGGTGAAGCTCAAATACCTTACGTGAAAGCACTGAATTGCTGTAAGATTCTGCTAAAACTAGCTCCTGTGCCTCTTTAGTCACTCATATGGCACATATGCCACAATTATGAATTTAACTGTGTCCTCCAGAAATGTGTTGAAAATCCTAACCCCTCTGGTAGCATGGTGCCTACAGCATTTGACTGCTAACCAAAAGGCTGGCAGTTCAAATCCACCAGCCACTCCTCAGAATCTACTTCCATAGTGATACTGCCTCAGAAACTCAAGGAGGGATCACTGTGAGTCAGGTTCAACTCAATGGCAGTGAGTTTAGTATACTCATGGTAAGGAGCTCTGGTGACACAGTGAGTAAGGCTTTGGCTGCTAACCAGAAGGTCAGTGGTTCAAACCCACCAACTGCTCCATGGGAGGAACAGGCAATCTACTTCCGTAAAGATTTACAACCTTGGAAACTCAATGGGGGTCACTGTGAGTTGGAATTGACTCGATGGCAGTGGGTTTTGGGGGGGTTTGCGGTACTTCTGGTGGAGTCCTGGTGGCACAGTGGTTAAGTGATTAGTTGTTAACTGAAAGGTCAGAGATTCGAACCCACCAGCTACTCCACTGGAGAAAGATGTGGCAGTCTGCTGCTATAAAAATTACAGTCTAGGAAACTCATAGGGGCAGTTCTACTCTATTCCACAGTATTGCTAAGAGTGGAAATTCAAATGAATGCAATGGATTTAACTTGTGTTTGTAATCCTATTTGGAAATGGTTTCTCTGTTATTTTAATGATGCTCTATCAGTGTTAGATGTCTTAAGTTAATCACTTTCAGATACACAGATAGACACAGACAAGCAAGGAGCAATGAGAGAAGGTAGATGCCATGCCACACAAAGATTGCCTGGGATCCAAGAAGCAGAAGCCAAAAAGAGACAAGAACTTTCCCCTCCCACCAACAAAGTCTTCTGATAAAGCCAATGCTCTGAATTCAAAATTCTAACCTCCTAAACTATTGGGAGCTCCGGTAGTGTAGTGCCTAAGGCATTTGACTGCTAACCAGAAGGCTGGAGGTTCAAACCCACCGGTCACTCCTCGGAAGGAAGATGGGGCAATCTACTTCCGTAGTGATACTGCCTCAGCAACCCAAGGAGGAGTCACTTTGAGTCAGGTTCGACTGGACGGCACATAACAACAACAACAAACTATGAGAAAATAAACTTTTGCTCGTTAAAGCCAGTCACTCGTATTTGTTATAGCAGCACTAAATAACTAAAACAGAAAAAGATAAGGAATACCCTTCAGTTCTAAAACTGTACTCTATTTGAGCCGGAACACCACCCCTCATTTGACCACTCAAACATTCTAAGCTTTTGTTTCTTCATTCAGACACTGAGGAAAATACTACCTGACCAATCTGCTTCACTAGCTTACTAAGACTTCAGAAGATATTATGTGAAAGCACTTTATAAACTACAAAGCTCTAAATAACTGTGGAAGTTATCATCAGCACTAATATCTTCTTCACTTCCTACATAGTCTCAATGCCTAGCTAAATACACTCTTTCATTCCCATCAAAAGTCCTGCCTCCCCTACAAAACCTTGATTTCTCAATTGTTATATTCCTTACCTTTCAATGGTAGCACCATGGGCTCTATCACATAATTGGCCTTACATAGTCCTCTATTGGGAACTCTGGTGGCATAGTGCCTAAGGCATTTGACTGCTAACCAGAAGGCTGGAGGTTCAAACCCACCAGGTACCCCTCCAAAGAAAGATTGGGTAATCTACTTCTGTAAAGATACCGCCTCGGAAACAAGGTGGGGTCACTATGAGTCGGAAACAAATCGACGGCAATGAGTTTGGGGTTTATTTTCGGTTAGTTCTCTATTACTCTGTGTGTTTTATCTTTTGAGCTTTAAGAGAGAGATTGTTACATAGGTCCACATCACCAGTACAGCTCCTAGAAAATATAAAATACATTCAGTAAATACTTGCTTATGACTGCATGCAAAAGCAAACAATCAACTTCACAGTATGAATATTAATAGTTCCTCACACTATTTAGAAAGAAAACAAAAATCCTCACAACAAGACCAATAAGCAACATCACAATAAATGAAGAAAAGACTGAAGTTGTCCAAGATTTCACTGAACTTGGATCCACAATCAACACCCATAGAAACACCAGTCAAGAAATCAGACATTATATTGCGTTGGGCAAATGTGCTGCAAGGTACTTCTTTAAAGTGTTAAAAAAAAAAAAAAAAAAAAGATGTCACTTTGAAGACTAAGGTGCACCTAACCAAGCTATGGTATTTTCAATCGCTCTATATGCATGTGAAAGCTGCAATGAGTAAGGAATACCAAACTAGAGTGCCTTCGAATTGTGGTGTTGGTGAAGAATACTAAAAATACCACAGACTGCCAGAAGAACAAACAAACCTGTCCTGGAAGAAGTGCAGTCAAAATGTTCCTTGAAGAGAGAATACCCTACCTTCATCTCACCTACTTTGGACATGGTGTGAGAAGGGACCCTCCTTGGAGAAGGATATCAAGATTGATAGAGTGTAAGCAAAAACTAGGAAGAGCCTCAATGAGGATTTGCACAGTGGCTGCAAAGATGGGATAAAAACACAGCAAAGATAGTGAGGATGGCTCAGGCTCCAGCAGTGTTTCCTTCCGTTGTACACAGGGTCACTATAAGTTGGAGCCAACTCAAAGACCCCTAACAACAACATACGATTTAACCTGGGATGTATAGACACATAGTCAAATGTAATTTTAATAATTACACAAATCAAACTCAAAAAAAAAAAAAAACTCACTGTCATCCAGGATTCTGACTCATAGTGACCCCCAATGGGTTCCCAAGGCTTTAAATTTTCACAGTAGATTGCCCTATCTTCCTTCTGCAGAACAGCTGGTGGGTTTGAACCACCAACCTTCTGGTTAACAGCCAAATGCCTTATCCACTAAGCCATCAAAAAAAAACTACTCACTACCATCCAGTCGATTCAGACTCATAGAGACCCCTCCTTGGGTATCCGAGGCTGTATCTCTATGGAAGTGGCTTGCCCAATCTTCCTTCCGAGGAGTGGCTGGTGGATTTGAACCACCAGCCTTCCAGTTAGCAGTCAAATGCCTTAGGCACCACGCCGCCTTAATTATACAAATGTTGTTGTTGTTGTTATGTGCCGTGGAGTCGGCCCCGACTCATAGCGACCCCTCCTTGGGTTTCGGAGGCAGTATCACTATGGAAGTAGGATTGTCCAACCTTCCTTCCGAGGAGTGGCTGGTGGGTTTGAACCGCCAGCCGTCTGGCTAGCAGGCACGTGTCTTAGCCACTATGCTACCAGAGCTCCCAATTATACAAATACTCAAGCGTAAATTTAATGTCTGTCTCTGACCTGGTAATTCACATATCAAAGTGACCATACCCATTCAGTAACGCAATTTTTCAGTCATCCCTTCTACCTCCAGAGTGTTTTGTCTTTTTAGTTCTGAGGTGTGTAGATTTCTGTTGATGTCAATTTGTCTTTCTCCCGTCTGATCTAACACCTGCATCGTTTTCTTTCCCCAACAAGCAGACCTAACACTTTAAATAAGAGTTTTGCAACGTGAGTGAAGAGGACCCTAAACAACTAGTTTACTACTTCTGGCACGTTAAGTATGTCATGTGTAAAACCAGGTTGCTTGACAGCCAGTCACAAATCTCACAGAATAATATCCGATCAGCGTTGCAGATTACTTTCACAAGCATTGTTTTACAGCACAACCTTACGAGGTAGGTCTATAACATCACCAGAGGGAAAAATTGAGGCTAGGAGTAGTGTCCAACAACTTAAAGGGGGCGGAGCCAGAAAAGCAGTCTGGACTGCACAGGAAATGAGGGAGCAGGTTGCCCGCGGGAATGGAGCTCCCAGGGAGTCGCTAACCTAGGTGATCAGCTAGTGGGCAGACGAACGGGTGGACACGAGTGGGGAAGCTGTCCCGCTCCAGTGTTACCTGCAGCACCAAGGCCTGGGCCGCCCCAGGCGGAAAGCCCATACGGTCGGACGGGTGGCGCAGCAGGCGGTAGAAGTCTGTCTTGCGGTAAAGGAAACCGAAAAACACGCGCAGAAAGTCCTGGACGTTGCCCACATGCTGCAAAATGCCCAGTAGGGCTTGGTCGTACAACTCAGCTGACCCAGGCTCCATGTCGTCTGGCCCGCCCAGGAGGAAAGCTCACGCAATGCTGGGATACAGCCGGGAGCAACCTGACCTACAAGCGACTTCCGGCGTGCTGCAGTTAACGGCTCCGCTGGCGGGCACAGCAGCGGAACTTCCAGTCCGCACTTGTTTCCCCTTGCCTGGCGGCTCCAAGACGCGTTGTGGCGGAAGAACGGTAAGCACAGTCCCTTATGTCTCTGCCAGGCTTTTCCTCCAGCCAGCCCTAGCTAAAAGAGCTAAAAGGAACCATAGTGGCTCCTAAGCGGAAGAAAGCACATGGTGGCGTACTGAAGACATATAGGGACCATGATTGAAATGGGCGGAAGAATTGTGGCTGGGCCACGGGCAGTTGAACCAGACCGTCACCTGATCCACTGGGTTTTGTCACGTGGGCTGTGGGACCCTTTGTAGTTTCTGGCTGAATTCCTACGTAGGTACCCTGAGCTCAGCGGCTCAGCTGGAACCACTGATGTTTTAACGGTAGGTCAGAGAAAGAAAAAAGGCGTGTATGTGGGTCGTATAAGTTTACTTTTAATAACAACAGTGAGTGAAATGAAAGGAGTTGCATCAGAAGAAAGGTGACTTACATAAATAAAGGCGCCTTCATGGCGCAGGCATGGCTAGCGCTTGGCAGCTAACCAGAATGTCAGCTGTTCGAACCTAGTTTCAGCGTAGCCGGAGAAAGATGTGGCAATCTGTTAGCACTTTTATAGGGTGGCTATGGTAGCCACTCCTCGGAAGGAAGGTTGGGAAATCCTACTTCCGTAGTGGTACTGCCTCGAAAACCCAAGGAGGGGTCGCTATGAGTCGGGGCCGACTCGACGGCAAACAACAACAACAACGTGAGTCAGAAAGACGGCATCTAACAACATGAGTCGGAAGTGAGTTTATAAAAGGAGAACAGATTTAAAATGAATGCATGCGTTAAGAGAAAAGAGCTAGGTGCAGATAGAGAATTTACTATTTCACCATTCTGAAATTCCTGTGACTTGTGATATGTGTCATAATTGTGTCGAAGTGTAATTTTCATACCCTCATACAAGTATAGAGGGAACACGTCAGTGATTTTATTCAACAAATTAATGAGGGAGCCAGCAAAATAGTGAACCTGGTTGAAAGAGCATTTTGAGAAACTGGGTATTTAAAGACATTTTGAGGAAGAAAAAAAAAAAAACTAGAGTAAAGTTACATACAAAGCTGGTTGGTGTCCTATAAGATAATTAAACCATAGATTATCTTTTCTAGTGAATAAAAATTATTTGCATCTATACGTACAAAATTCCACAAGTTAACGTATACCTTCACAGTGTATGAACACTAACTAATTATACCCAGCAAAGTCAAACTCAGATAAATTGACCTACAGGAGTGGGTCTGAAAACTTTTTGAACTTAGGACCTGTTTACATTCTTAGAATTTATTTAGGACTCCAAAGGTTATATCTATCGATAATTACCATATTATAAATTAAGACAGAAATAACAATAATAAATACATAAGTTGACGTGTTTATGAAAATGTTTTTCAAAGCAGTAAACTTTTAGTGAGAAGACTCATAGTTGCACATTTTTTAAAATCTTTTTAATGTTTGGCTTGATAGAAGACATAAGGATTTTCACATCTGCATTTGCTGTTATTTGTGATATGTTGTTCTGGTTGAAGTGTATGAAGAAAGCTCAGTCTCACACAGTTAGGAATTAAAAATTGGGAGAAGTATTTCAATTATCTTTTCAAATAAATGTGGATGTTCTTTGTTCAAACTACCAAAACTCTTCTTTGAGACTGTAACAAAACTATACCAAAAAGGTTAGTGGCAATGTGGAATCTGAAACCATATCAATAACATTTTCCTACTCTGCTACATTTATATCTATTGGTTAATCCTGCACTTTGAATGGATCTTTTATGCACATGATTTTGTAACTTCATTATTGTTTGGTGCCCATCAAGTTGTTTCTGACACATAATGAGCTTATTATGTACAATGGAACTAAACATTGCCTGGATCCTGTGCCATCCTCACAATTGTTGCTATGCTAAAGCCCATTGTTGGAGCCACTGTGTCAGTCCGTCTCTTTGAGGGTCTTCCCTCCCTCCTTTTTTTTTTTTAAATTGTGATTTGGGTGAAAGTTTACACAGCAAATTCACTTTCCATACAGAAGTTTACATACACTTTGTCTCATGACATTGATCACAGCGCAACACCCCCCCCCACTTCCTCGCCATTGTTACTTCTTCCTTGTGTCCTTCCCTCCATGCACTTCTGCCCCCTTAACTGTCTCCCTATGCATACACAGCCCTTCTGTTCTCCCATGATTGATCTCTCTAGGAATGTATCTATCTAGTGTAAATGTTCACCTCATATGTCTGTCTTTTGTTTGGCTAGAAGCCACAGGAGTGGGTTCAATTCCAGAACTGAAGGGCAGCGAGGGGCCATAGTCTCAGTGGTTCCATCAGGCTGTAGCAAACCTGGTCCCTTTTTTTTTATTATTTTTTTCAAATGATTTTGAGTTTTGTTCCACATTGTTCCTCCCAGTCTATCCAGGATCATAGATCCCCTTCCAAGTGGTTTGCAGCGGTAGCCAGGCACCATGTAGTTCTTCTGGTCTCATATAGGCTGAGGATTGCATGATGTACTAGTCGCTTGGACTAACTGTTTCCATGAATCTTTGGTGTTCTTCATTCTTTGCTCTAAATGAGGAGACCCATTAGTTGCACCTAGATGACTGTTTGCAAGCTTTTAAGATCCCAGTTTCTACTCACCAAAGTATGAAGTGGAACAATGTTTTGTCTAGTATGTTATGCCAATTGAGCTTGATGTCCCCTGCGACTATGGTCCCAAGACCACAGGTCCAACTACTCGCTCCCTCTAGGTGACTACAAACTTGTGACTACAAACTTGTCCCTTGTCAGCTCTAGTATGCTGTTGTTGTTGTTAAGTGCCATCAAGTCATTTCCAACTCATAGCAAACTCACAGCAAAATGAAACACCACCTGATCCCGCACCAGCACCATGATCCTTGCTTTACTTGAGCCCATAATCGCAGCCATGATGTCAATCCATCTCGTTAAATGCCTTCCCCACTTTCATCGACCCTCCACCTTACCAAGCATGACATCCTGCTCCAGGGATTCTTGACAACATGACCAGAGTAGGTGAGATGAAGTCTGGCCATTCTTGCTTCCAAGGAACATTTCGGGTGCACTTCCTCCAGGACAGATCTCTTAGTTCTTTTAGAAGTCCATGGTACTTTCAGTATTCTTTGCCAGCACCACAACTCAAAAGCGTCAACTCTTTTTCAGTCTTCTTTATTCATTGTCCAGCTCTCGCATGCATATGAGGCAATTGAAAACATCATGGCTTACGTCAGGCACACCTTAGTCCTCAAGGAGACATCCTTGCTTCTCAACACTTGAAAGAGTTCCTTTGCAGCTGACTTGCCCAGTGCTACACGTCGTCAAATGTCCTGACTGCTGCTTCCATTGACATCGATTGTAGAACCAAGCAATGTGAATTCTTTGCAACCTCAATATTTTCTCCATTTATCGTGATGCTGCTTATAGGTCCAATTGTGAGGATTTTTGTTTTCTTTATATTGAGACATAATCCATACTGCAGACTGCAGTCTTCAGTCTTCATCAGTTAGTGCCTCAAATCATCCTCACTTTCAGCAAGCAAAGTTGTATCATCAGTGTATTGCAAGTTGTTAATTATTCTTCCTCCAATTCTAATGCCATGTTTTTCTTCATATAGTCCAGCTTCTTGGATTATTTGCTCAGCATATAGATTGAATAAGTATGGGGAAGGGATGCAACCCTGATGCACTCCCTTCTTGATTTTAAACCATGCAGTATTTCCTTGTTCTGTTAGAACAACAGCTTTCTAGTCAATGTACAGGTTCCTCATGAGTGCAATCAAATGTTCGGGAATTCCCATTCTTCTCAATGTTATCCACAATTTGTCATGATCCACACAATCAAATGCCTTTCCCACTTTCCTGCCTTGCCACTTTGGGGCATGGCCTGGGTTCCCTCCCATCACCTGCATACCTGCGGCTGACTCCTCCCAGCTCTACTACAGACCTGGGAATTTTTACAGAACATACCAATACACTTGTAGAAACATTGTCTACCAACCTTACACATGGTCTTGGGGACACTCCTCCCTCCATAGACATACCTAAAAGTTCAGCCCATCCAGAGGGTCTTCCCCTTTTTTAATGACCCTCTACTTTACCCAGCATAATATCACCCTCCAGGGACTGGTCCCTTCTAACAACATGACCTACATAGGAGAAACAAAGTATGGCCTTTCTGGTTTCTAAAGAACATTCTGGCTGTACTACTTCCAAGACAGATTTATTCATTCTTCTAGAAGTCCATGGTACATTCAATATTCCTTGCCAACACTACAACTGACTATTGTTATGTGCCCTCGAGTCGCACCCAACTCATAGTGACCCCTCCTTGGGTTTCCGAGGCCGTATCACTATGGAAGTAGATTGCCCAACCTTCCTTCCTAGGAGTGGCTGGTGGGTTTGAACTGCCAGCCTTCTGGTTAGCAGTCAGGTGCCTTAGGCGCTATACTACCAGAGCTCCTAACTGATTATTAGTCATTTAAAAAATGTTGGTTCACTGAGTTGTGCAGCTCTTCCAAATGTTATCATTTTATCACACAATATCAAAAAATACACATTTTTTAAATATAACCACCAGTCTCATCATAGATCTTAATTACTGGGAAGCAGAATGCAGTTTTTCCAAAACAAAAATTTTCATTTGAAAACTTAAATTTTATAATTGGTAAATAATACAATTATTTTCCTTGAATTGCATGCTTACTTCATTCTGTCATTCTTTGAAGTGAAAATAGTATTCCATGAAAAGAGCTGCTTCAGCAGACAATTCAGTTATACAAATACTTTCTCCTGAATCAGCCTTTATATTTCAATATGAAGCAGAGGATTTTGTGTGCATTTCTCTTTCAT